CTCCTTTTCATACTAGGATGATGCCTAAAAGTGAGAAATATAATAATAATATCCTAGGTAGTATAAGAGTCTATGAATAATGAGTAGTAGTAGTAGGATTGTATAAGATATAAATAGTGGAATAGAGGATTATTGGCGATAATCCTGGGATTGGGATTGGGATTATCGTCGAACACTCTTCACAGAAGCCTCTACCCTCACAATAGAGGCAACCTACAAGAACAACAAGCCAGGCAGGCATGTTGGTAATAACAATGGCTACTCATGGTGATAGTGGTAGTAGTAATCGAGTAGTAGTAATAGTAGGCACACATTCCGAATCCTGTGAATAGACGAGTTAGTTGAGATTATATTACTGAATAGTAGTATTTAGACATATGCTGCCTCTACTATAGGATCATAGTGCTGATGGTGGTGGTCATGATAAGAAGGAGGAGAAGGAGAAGAAGATACTAAGGATAGTAGGGATGATAAACTCAACAAGGTGTGGTAATGATGATGTTATTATTATTAGTAATACAACTATGTAGTAATAGGATGATGATGATGATGAAGATGTAATAACAATGATGATCATCATCATCATGAACCTATTATGTCTATTAACTACTATCAATGATATTCCTCAATATCATCCTCATTAATGATGATAATAATAGAGGAGGAGGTGGAGGTGGAGAAGGAGGAGGCATAGGAAATGTAAGTGATCACCATACATCATCCTCAGCAGCAACAGCAGCAGCAGCAACATGAAGTAGGGTAGATGATGACGTGAGGATAACGATGATGTTAGAAGACTACAACTAGTAGTAGAACAGCAGGTACCTTATTATCATTCCCTTCTGCTGCTGCTACCACCATGATGTTGTTGTTGTTGCTCCTCCTCATCTACCATCACTGCCACATTCTGATGATGATCATCATCATTAACACCGCCTTCCATTTTTTGAGGAGGGGATGCTACTGTAGTATTATTATAATACCTAATAATAGACAGCATGATGATAGTAATACAAGTAGTAGCTGTTGATAGTAATACAAGTAGTAGCTGTTGATAGTAGTATTACCTTTCTTGCGGCAGCATAGTAGTAGTAGTAGTAGTATCAGGTGTTGATGATGGCATAATGAGAGGATAGGGATAAGAGTAAGATGATGATACACCAGGACCAGGACTAGCATGAGCATGTCGTGTATATGAGCCTATACTACTGCTACTAGTAGGTGGTGGTGGTGGAGGAATATACATACTGCTTGGTCCACCAGATGTTGTAGTAGGGTAAGGTCGCATCTCGGGACTAGATGATACTACTGGATAATAATATGATCCATTAACAGCAGCAGCAGCAGCAGCAGCAGAAGGAGGAGGAGGAGATGGCGAAGGTGTGGTAGTATAATAATAATAATTATTATCATACATACGTTGTTGTTGTGGTGATGGTGACATAGCAGCAGCTTGATATTGTTGTTGATGATGATGATAAGGTATAGGGTACGGGGAATACCTATTATGAATAATGATACTCAAGGATAATCACCACCTACTACTACTATTACCCTGTTGCTGGTATTGGAGTAGGGGAAGGCATACTATAAGTATTATCATAATAATACTGTCCTCCTCCTCCTCCTCCTCCTTGTTGTTGTTGTGATGATGATGTTGTACTACTACCATATACCATACCTTCTTGTACCATCCTACTACTACTACCATACCCTCCTCCTCCTACTAGTACTACATCCTCATAGTGCTGAGGAACATTAGTACCATAACCCCCTTGTTGGTGGTGAGTATTATAATAGGTAGGCCCCTCACAAGCAGCAGCAGCAGCCGTCGTCGTCGTCGTCGCTGCCCTCTGCTGCTGCTGGTCCTGTTGAGGGTCAGGTCCCACTTGTGATGATGATGATGATGATGACGTAGATGCTGGGCCTTGGAACTCAGCAGGAGGTGGAGGTGGATATGCGAACTGTGTAGTACCAGTACCAGTAGTAGCCTCTACAGTAGTACTAGTAGGGCCGGGAGGAGGAGGAGGTGAGGGTGAGGGTACTGCATTGTAGTAATAGGGAGGGGCAGTAGTATCAAGAACATCCTGTGTTGTATGGTAATAGGTATGTTGTTGTTGATATGGATTAGTGTTGTAATGCATGATACTACTACTACTAGCAGAGTAGGTAGTAGTAATAGAAGGATCTCCTATACTACCAGAGGATCCCCTTGGTATGAACTCAGCAGCATGGGCAGATAGTTGTCGTTGTTGTCGTCCACTAGAAGGAAGAGGAGTATTACCCTTCTCCTCCTCTTCATCCTTGACCCCAACACCATCCACTTCCTTCTTCTTCTTCTGATGATGATGATGATGATATGTAGGTAGTGGGGTAGTCGATGATGATGGTGGTGGGGGTAGAGTCTCTGCTACTACTGACTTGCTTCCTTCTCTATGTTGGGTATCATCATCATCATGATCATCACCAAGAGTAGTCGAGTACCTGTGATGGTGGTGTTATTATTACATTAACATTACTAATATTACCTCTTATCCCCTTTATTATCATCATCTGCATACTCCCCTCCTCTCCTCTTACTACTACTACTACTCGAAGGGTAATAATAATGATGATGATGTCGGCGTCCATCAGTGTTTCCACTCCCACTAGCGGTATACTCCACATCTTCATTATCATTACCCCTTCTAGTTGGCGGCAACAACGACGGCTGCTGCTGCTGCTTTCCCGATACCACACCTCCCCGAACTCGTTCCTTATTGTTGCTACTAGTAGCAGTATGTGATCCCCTCTGAAAGTAGTGAGTATGCTGCTCCTATTATGTGTTATTATTATTACCCTTTCAGATGCTGTCTCTTTAGCATACTTACCAGTACCCCTCACATTAAAGCTACTCCCTATTGATGATGATGATGATCTTCCATAATACAATACTCCCCGATTATTATGTTGATGATGTTGTTGACCCTTCCTGCTACGTCTACTATTATAGATACCACCATCAACTACTCCACCCAAAACATCATCCTCCTCATCATCATCATCATCCTCGTTATGGTAGTCACCATTGTTAGCTGATGATGATGTCCATCCCCCCGATGGACACCATAACCTAGACTGCTGCTGCTGCTGTTGGTGCTGCTGGTGCTGCTGCTGCTGGTGGTGATCAGTCCTCGATAATGATGATCGTGATGATGGTGTTGCCTCATCTCCTCCTTTATTATTCATAACCCCTCCACCACCACCACCACCACGATAAGGCTTCTCTACAGTAGTAGCCTTCTTCTTCTGCTCAGGTGGTCCAGCAGCAGCAGCAGCCTTCTTGCGTTGATCTAGTTCCCTTAACTTTTCAGCACATCGTCGCCGTCCTATTAATACCAACATTACCTATTAGTATTGTATTATTATTATTACGTTCCTCCTCCTCTCTCTCCTCTTCCTTCATCTTCGCCATCTTCCTTTCACTCGCTTTAAGCGCCATATCAGCATGCATCCTCCTTAGATCCACTCCTAAACTCATATTACTACTACTACTACCCTACTACTATTATTACTACTACCCTTAGTATCAGGACCAATAGATCCTCGTAGTGGTCGAGATCGTCCTCCATCACTACTACCATGTTCAGGCTGTTTGGAAGATGATGTTCTTGATGTATCCACAACCTTATCACTCCATACACTATGTTTAGTAGTTTCGGTAGGTAGTAATAGTAGATCATCATCATCATCGTCATCATCATCATAAGCAGCATCAGCCCAACTAGGACCTACTAGCATGATCAACACCTTATTACTACCATACTACTACTACCCGCCCTGATATGTTGTTGTTGTTGAGAGGAAGAGGAGGCTCCTCCTCCTCCTCCTCCTCCTTTCTTATCGTTACCCCTCATAGATGGGCTCCTACTACTATTATTACTACTACCACCATCACCGACTACCATCCCTACACTACCAGATGCCCTAGTAGGATTGCTACTACTATTGTCTGAAATATTCATATAAACAAGTGTAAAAGAAGAGGAGTTCTAACCTCTAGCACTACTACTCGTAGTAGTATTGTTATTTGTTGCTGATGGTGCTGCTGCAGTGGTGGTTGTCGTATTAGTATTGTTATTATAAGTAACCTATGTATAACGATAATATAACAATATGATTGTTGCTATTACCACTAATGTAGTAGAAGTGGCATCATCAGTCCTCTTCCTTCTATTGGAGAGTCCAGTCCCTTCCTTCATTATCAATCCTGATGTCTTTGTTACAGCCTCTTGCTTATCATCAGGGGTAGTTGGAGCAGTTGTGGTAGGAGATTCCTCCTTATTATTACCATTCACTAAGACTACCTTAGTGCTTCTATTAGCCCTCTTGCTAAATAGAGTCTTCTTCTTAGTCTTTATACTATCAACTACTGTTGTCGTAGTTTTATTAGTCATAAGTAGATTACTACTACTACTGGGAGGTAAATACCCTTCCTCTTTATGGAAGTACGTATGTAATAGGGCAAGTCTAGGCTCTAGTTCTTCTTGTTCTTGTTGTAGAGTAATAAGAATATACTACTGGTATTAGTAGTAGTAATGATGAGGGAATCGATGAGATAACGATCAATAATAAGACCGTTAAACTGAAAACAACAATGAATGAACAACGTACTACGACCAACGCAACGGTGACATCATCAGAAAGGAATTGCACGAAAAACTCAAAAATGTAAACATGACGCGCTTCGCTCCGCCTTCCTACTGCACGGGGCACTGAATGAAGCAAGCTGTATCGATCTTGAATTGAATATACCTTGTGTTGAATGTGTTGTGGAGTTTCAATGCTGGGGGAGTGAGGGGCCACCACCTCAATCACAGGTTTCGGCTGAAATTGATGTTTATTGAGTGCTCATCATCAAAAGTGAGGTTTCTATAGAGATATGTTAGCGCAGATCTTGGTGACACGGTGAAATAAAGGTTGAATATTAGGTGTATATTATGTATCACGGAATTGGCAGTCGATCCTTGGTCCTTATGTAGGATGATGTCCTGATATTGTGGATCACCAGGAATGGTCAAAAGAGTTACTAGTCGTAGTTTTATTATTATGGGGGCTACTGCCTCCTCCACTACCAATGATCATGATAGTCAAGGACAGCCTCCTCTTACTACAGCTGCTATTGGTAATAGTAGGGGTGGTAGTAGTAGTAGCGATGTTGTTATCATCATCAGAGAAGGCTGTATATACAACAGCAGGAGAGGAGATAAGTAGGAGTAATGCTGATAATAGTAGATCATGGATCGATAACCACATTCATACCATACCATCTACAGATCCGTAATCCTACTAATCCTAACTGCTATCACTATCTATTAGGTATTGGGAATTGAGTGGTTTCCCTCAAGGGACTGCTATGGAATATTCACTTTTCAATGCATTATATAGAGTGGCCAATAGTAAAGATAAAAGTGTGGAGATGAAGAGGCTGGTATTAACTATGAATGGGAGTATAGTACTTATTGTGTATTGGTATGTAGGTGAACTCATTACCGAAAGGTCGTGGGTTCGGTCCTTTGGTAGCAGTTTTTGTGAAACAACTCGAGTCAGTATTGCTTAGTGACGAGTCACCGAGTGAAGGAAGTATTGCAGCTTGTATTGCTTTATCAGTGGTAATATGATTATGATGTGGAGAAGGAGTGGTATTATGATTAGTTGGGGTTAGATATTGAGATTGGTTATTAGAGTATTACCAGCATCTCGAATGCCCATCCTCCACACATTAAGCCATCGATTAGCATCAATAATAGGCAACACCCCTTCCTCATCTCTATCACAATATATGGTACTAATAATAATACTATACATCAGTAGTGGATGATAATACTAGTAGTAGTATTAGTAGGTAGGGCTATACTCCTCCTTATTTGAGCTATTGCTAGCATTATGGCGAATACATGATGATGGTGATACTAGACAAGTCATCATCAACATCGATGATAATAATAAACGGTAAGGCTATGAGGTGGATGAGGAGGGCGAATACACTTGATTGATAATAACATTAGTAGTGCATCATCATCATCATTACCCTATATGGACGACTTTATTAACACGATATTGGATGATAATGGAGGAGGAGAAGAGGGATCGTCGATGAGTAGAGTTATTATACTCTTACTACGATGTATTATATCCCCTACCATTCGTTTGAAACATCGTGCTATGCAACTACTCATCATAATGGTAATAATACCAGCAACAACATCATCATACAAAAGTATACCATGATGATGATAGTAGTGGTAGTTACAACTAAGCCCTAGGATGAGGCATCTAGGCCCAGCAGTATTCAGTAGTAGTAGTACTAATAAACAGGATGATATGGATATGTTACTATCGAGGGCATCACTACAATTAATACAGGAATTACCACACAACACCAATAACAACACCATGAAGCCACCTCTATCCATGATAACCTTGTAATAACAATACTATCATTTCAGGTGAGCATCATCATATGGATATACCCTTTAGATATACCCTCATCATACGTTCACCTACAGCATTAGCATCATTACAAGCTAGGACTGATTCTACTCAAACTCTTCTACCACTCATCAAGTCCATGTAATGATGACTTACTCAACAGTCATAGCATCATAGTAGTATTATAGTAGATATGAGCATACTACTATGATAAAGGGTCGATCTACTGGAGGAGGTGATAGTGGTGGTATACAGCAGCAATATGATGCATCCCAGCTATTGGCTCTAAAGGTGGTCATACTCCTACTCTTGGTGCGACAAGAGGGATGCTCTATTAATGCATCCCACTGTTGGATAGATAATGATGATGATGATATTGCTAACTACAAGATACAATGTAGGGTGTAGTACTGAGTAGTAGTACTAGTTGTTTATCTACTTCTAGATGGTTTACTCCAAAGTCTAGATGATGATAGTAATGGTAAAGAGACGATAAGAGATCGTTTGAGTAAGTAGTAAGATCATCATTATCATCATCATCATTGTTGTTGTAGATGTATCATCAATATTGGTATTAGTATTAATTAGAGTAGCTCGATGTAACTATGCTGAGAGTAATAATAACAAGATGGGTAGTAGGAATGAGTTCCTAACCATAACTATAGCTGCAACTCTACATAATCTGGCTAAACATACTATTACACATTTACATTGGTAAGTAGTAGTAGAAGAGGAGGAAGATAAGAATGTACACACTTTCATACTATCATTTAGGTATGCTTGCCAGAAGTTATTGCATTTTACTAAGCTACTCTTAGTAGTAGTAGTAACAGCGTCATCATCCCCCCCAAGTGATGATGATGTTGATACACCCGATAAGCTACTACTACAAAGCCTGTTATATTTGATAATAACATCATTATCACCTAGTAACATATCAACTAATATACCATTGGTTTACAGTTTACTATTACTACATCCACCACCAGACTTGCTACTTAGTGCTGGTGTAGCTGGTAAACTACTATGTAGTATGTATACTAAACTAGAAGGTATAGTAAGTATTGATACTGATGATGATGATTGGTTGGAGGAGGCATCCCTTCATGAGGTTGTTGCATACATATCACAATGCATTATCAAGTCGGGCGCAGCTGATGTGGGTAGGGATGCTTTGGGGTTTATGGATGCTATAGGAGGACGAGGAGAACGAGAGGGTTGGTTTAATAATCGTATATTCGATTATAAAGAGTATCAGTATGATGATGGTGATAGTAGTAGTAAGGTAGATGATGGTAGAGGGTACTATTCAATGATGTTATGGTCAATAATAGAGGATAGTATGATGTTCAATGATCATGATGAAGCTGGGTTAAGGTATATATGTTGGACTAGAGATATGTCTTAATAGATACAATACTCAACACTGTAGTGTTGTAATATGGTGGTCGTCGTCTTTCCTTGTCTTAATCATGGCATTGTGTTTAGTATACCTAATACAGGTATTAATGTAGGATTTATTGTTTGAAAAGAATTTTAGCTGCCTAGTGAAAGGCATCATCCATTTTGGTGACATTATGGTGAAGGAGGTGAGGTAATGAATCTCCGAAAGGTATATGGAGAACAACCGCAGTGATAGTAGGTATGTAAGGATGATACCGGTTGGATGGATATATCATGGGGTGTCCAAGCCGTTGTTAGTCGATAGCGTCATGCCGCCCTAAGGGGGTTGGGTAATGCCGCCCTAAGGTGGTGTCCTAGTTCAACTAGGAGACTGGATGATAGAAGCGGTGCTAGTTGAGACTACCGACTCCGACCAATGCATGATGATGATGAAGTTAGTGGGGTAAGAAGGATATCTTGGTTAGAGGACAGTGGATCATGGTGCATCAATCTATTACTATTATTATAATCCGACGTATGTCCCATACTTCCCATCCATCATGCACACAATGAATCAATCTTCTTGTTGCTCTTGTTGTTGCTTCTCCTAACAGTATATATTGTGTTGATGATGATGTTGGGTATTCAATTATCCTCGAGAGGAGGTCTTGCTGGCCACCTCATCATCATGCCAAACAGTATTCGATCATCATCATCATCTCTAGATGAGCTAGGCATAACAACACATCCCACCACACCGGCTGACCACATCAAAGTGAAGCTCTCGGCTCAGGTATTATGGGCAATACTCATTATCTATATTATTACTAGTAGTAGTAGATGCATCGATACTTCAATGACAACATGATAAGAATTGAAAGAGTTGGTATAGACCCAGAGGCAGGGGGTATGATAACTGATATCCATGCTACTATCAATGTATCATCAAAGTAATGATCAGAGTAATAGGGGTATATATGTCAATAACTCATCAGAGCTTATCCGTTTACTATCATACACCGGCATCCTTCCTTTCTGGTATATCTAACAGCAAATAATGATGATGATGATGATGAGAATAGTGTTCAAGTGAAGGCATGGGTAAGGGCGGCTGCTACTGCCTACCCTATAGTATGGTCATCATCATAATTAGATCGAGTCCCTATGCAACTTTGGTACTAGTGGAGATTGCCATACCTTATCAGCTCTACTACAGTATGCACATAAGGTATGGTATGATGATAATAATAAGGGCCAAGACTATCATGAGAGGCTGCTGCCGTCGTGTATGATGGCTGCTGCATCTGGTAGTAGTACTCTTGGTGCTGATAATGATAATAATGATGTATTACCATCGGAAGAGATAATGCTATCAAGTGTAGCCAAGTAAGTAGGAAGAAGAGTAGTAGTGAAGAGTTATGTATGTTATGGTTTGCAGACACCTAGAGAGAGCAAGAAGCCTCCATAAGGGTGGACATCATGCTCAGGCACTCGATGCTTTATTAACAGTACTACATCTTCATCCATCACATGATGACCAGGCATTACAGGAGGTAGGCAACACCACCAGCAACACCACCAGCACCAGCAACAGTATCACCATCTTAGCAGTATACCATCTTTATAGTACTTCACACATCTGTTCGATGAAGCTGCTGCTACTGCTACTACTGCTACCACAGCATCAACAACCACCATGGTGACATCATCATCATCGTCTACTAGGAGGGTAGTGATGACTCCTCCTTTAACATCATCATCATCGTCCTCATCATCATCATCATCATATCATGCAGCTACTGCGCCTGTTCCTAGAACTGCTACTACTACTACCACCATGAGCAGTAATACCTACAACAATGCCTCGCTACCACAGCCGATTCCTTCTCCTTATAGAGCGAGTACGGAGTAGCAGTTCAGTGATGACTGGTGGGCAGCACAGTAGAAGAGATGATAGAGGACCTGAATGCTCTCTCGAGGAAAGGGTAGCATCATCATCATCAACAACAGTAGACTCGGTAAGGATAGATGTGATACTTTAGAGGTGTGATGGTATGTTGGTAGATGGTCCCACCACCACCTGATTCCACAACCACTGCTAGTCAATGG